TCAGTTACATGAAATAAAATAACAACAAAAGTAAATAATTTATTTTAAAAAAAACTACATACATGCAAGAATGCTACATCTATACCATACTAATACTAATTTATCCGAATTGCATATAAAGTCCACCTAAATAACATAGTTAGTATTCGACCTACTGCACATATAATCTAATTTAAACTTGCAAATAAAACTTATAAAAGTTAAGCAAACAAAAAACTTATGACGAAAGCAGTTTCATCTCCAACTCGATCTGAAAATCCACCTTCCGTTCCTGGTTTTGCGTGACAACGTCGCGCAGCTACTTATTGTACAAAATGTTAATACGGAAGTTGCGCATAGGTTCATCTGTATAATACACAAATTTTAAATTTTGCAAGTCAATTACTCGTGTATGCACGTACGTACGTATGCATAATGATAGTATACAAATTTTTAAAAGTTATTTTTTTTCGAACAACGGGCAGCGTAATACAAATAACACACAATTAATACAAACTTAATATATAACATAAGTTACAATAATTATAAAAAACATATGCTAGTAAATTACCACCGATAACTTCTATATGATTTTAAAAGAAATATTTAAGTCAGGTTATTTTATCAAAATAGATTTTTTTGTATGTTATTACGTAAGCAAGACATTCCAGAATTAGAACTCAGTTAGTCAATCACGACTTGTAAATCATGATCATAATAAAATAGGCGACTTCATATGGTTGGTTGTTTAGGTCACATTATTTATACCGTTGAAAGCACTTTATTTAAAAAAAAGTCTATAGGAGGTATTATTAGTATTGTAGGATTCCACTATTGAAAATGATCAAAATCCTTTTTTATATAAATAATGTAAAATTAAATTTATTTAAACAACAAAAATCGTCCTATAAACATCGAAATAAATATCACAAAATTTGTTTCCTGGGAGCAAATGATTAGTTGGAATGCGATGCTACGTAACAAACGTCAGCCAATCATTTGCTTTGACAAACAAAATTTCATCTTATAACTCATGGGTTTGTTATAATTTGCAGACAGCACTTCGACAATGATCTCTAGTCAACATTAAGCAGGCAACTCTAACCTATATCGTGTCAATTTTTTGTCGACATAATTGTTGGTGAATTGATAAAATGGTCGTTGGTGAATTGATAAATGGTTGCTGAAAATTGGGTTTTACCTGGGTTCCTATACAAGGTCACTTGTTTTTTTTTAAAGTGATCTTATATATAAATGATGCTAAGGAAAAATGCACTACGGATTTTCAATTATATTTTGTACCGGACACGATACTTAATAAATTAGATGCACTCAAGAAATCTGTGACGCAGTAAAATTACTTAAAATTCATTAATGCTAAAGTTAGCATTTAGAATAAAGTTAGAGGTTAGAGAATTGAATAGTAAAATCACTCAAGGAAATTTTTTTGTTATAGCACTAAATGTGGTTTTTTATACTGCTTTTTGATTTTTGACAAAACGAACATTTTGTTTTGAAATTTGAAATTTCTTGATCGTGTTACGTTACACCTGATTCTTGAGATCTGATTTGTGGATCAGGAGCCTGCGTTACGGTAAGATTTTACGTAACCTCTTGAACCCATTTATAATTGGTTACCTCTAATGCTAACTTCTAATCCTAAAACAAAAATTAAGCGCCAAAATTTATATTTTCGGTTAGGGATGTTAAGCCGGTTCAATTTATTATATAAACTGATCTAGTTCTGGCAGTTAGGTGCTAAGAACGGACGAAATTGACAATTTTTTTTAAAGCCTAACTAATCCAAAATTAGCGTAGAACTATTTATCACTTAAAGAATGAATGCTATTATCTTAATTGTCGCGGAAATTGGGGTCTCCATTTTAAAATATAAGCCCTGCTAAAATCCACATATACTCTTCAATTATTAATTTAACCCTAAAAAAAAACATCCTAAAAATTTTTAAAATTCAATATCATAAAGGTCTAATTTTAAGCATCAGCCGTAATAATAATTTTTTTAAAGTGTTTATTTCCATTATAACTTATTATAGAATTTATAATATAAAGAACAATTTTCCGCAAAACTTTTTTTTTGTCAAGCTCATAGATTTGATTTATAATTGGTTTTCAAATCTAGTTAAACAGTTTAATAATATATTTCACAAATCTATAGAAATTCTAAATGCAGAACAGTAATTTTATATATTAAAAAAAATATTATTAATATAAAAAGTAGCATTAATATTTATAATAAATTCACCTTTATCTTCATCATATAATGTCCGAATAATTATACTAGTACTATAGGATTGTGGATTATGAGTATGATTGGATCAGCTTCGTCATTTGATGTAGATATTTTTAAATTATCATGTTTTTTAAATTTTGTTATTGCATCTTTTACATAACTAGATTTTATTTCATCAGGCTTTTATATTAAAATTTTCAATATAATCACCAATTATCATAAAAGTTTCTATGCTTTTGGTCGTTCAGATGGGTCAGGATCTCAGTATAAATTCATCAGATTGTTATAATGAAGTGGTGTATTTTCAATAGTTTTTTAGATGATCACCAAAGCAAATTCTAAAAATAAGCTTTGTATTATGGCATCTCCTACATTAACATTGCGAAGCTATAAATATCACATGTTTGTGAGTAAGGTTTCCTTGTATAGCCTCAGACGCAATATAAGGTATAATGGCATAAACTTCATTAGATTGATTTACTGGATCACATAATCCTAGATTGCTTATCCTTCATAATTTAAAATTAGTATATTACTACTATGTAAATATAAATTAGACCAGATTTATGTATTCCCAAAGCCCTGATATAGCACATCTCAAATATGTTAATTATCCAGTCTTGTTTGAATATTTAATTCAAATTTTACCTCAAGCTTCCGTGTGGAGCATAATACAGTACATCACTATTACATAATTAGAGGTTTCAGGATCTTGAGTAATCCCATGTAACGGAAGTAATGTCCTATTTTAAATGTTTTTTTAAATGAAGTTATTCATTTTATTTGTTGATAAACAACAATAAAAAAAAAAAAAAAGAATATAATAAATAAAACTTAACCTCGTCAAAAAATCCTCATTAATATTTGATGAATTATTCAAACTTTTGAAGGCTACAACAAATGCTTTTGCATCAGAATCTTCATATATATCGGTAGTAATTTCATAATTACAAGTGACTCTTGATACTGTATAAGAAAGTTCTTATATAAGATTTTCTTATATCGAATGCCTTTTATCAAAAAAATTCTCGATTAGGACATGTAAAATCTTTCTTATATCAAGAGTTTCTTATATCGAGAGTTACTTGTATATTTGACAAACCTTCTAAACTCTTTCAGTTTTGAGATTCCTGCGCAGATAGCTGATTTCTCCACAAAACAAACTGCTTTATATATAGAACTAAATCCACCATCAGCATTACGTTTGCATTAATTTGAGATTCTTGTATGAATTTATCAATATATAAATTTCCACTTGTCCATTTTGGAAAATTTTGACGAAAATTTTCAGCGTTGCATACTTTGCACCATTTTTCACCAGTATTTGGTTGTTTACAATCTTCACAAAACCCAAATTCAGGACTCTGATTTAATGAGTAATCCGTCCGCAATCGATTTAAAGACAGTTCAATAATAAAAATTCAGCCAAATTATATTTGAAAAAAAACAGAATATATTTAAACGTTACAAATTAAACCAATTTTGGAAACTTCAGGATTGGTTATAACGATAAACTTTGCCTGACTATCTGTTGTTGTGACCTGGGAAAGATTTCAGTTCGATGTGACTTTCCTCCAACGTACATGATCGGGCTTTATATTGTTATCGTTTAACAATAGTGCTGCATGTCATTCAATTATGTTTGTTAATTTATCTTATATTGGGTTATGTGGTCAATCTGGAATGCGAAAGCGAACTTATAGACCACTAATATAAGCAGTTACAAGTTGGTAAACGAATGCAAGGTAGGTCATCACATGCCACGTATTTACTCTACTCAAAGTTCGAATTATTAGTCATCATGAAACGTGTACAACGTGAAGAAAAAAAAAATGAAACTACATGCAAAAAATTTTGGGCAAAAAAATTTCGTAACACTGTTCATCTACGTGTCTCTATTATGACTAGTTGGTCCTGTTCTCTAGTTAATTATATAATAATTAAGTATAAATAACAATTAATTCATAAACGTTATAATTCTTAAGAAGCCAATGATAGCTATCAGTACGAGTACGATGTGTGACAAAACACATGAATTACTGGGGAGTCTGATATACTATGTAAAAAATCAAAACTATAAATGATATCATATACAAATGTAATATCAAATATTGTTATGAACAAGGTTGGTTGTTATGAGATTCGATAACCTTTAATTGGATGAACATCATTTACAACCAAAAATCGTGAATCCAAATTTCGAACTGATCAATATAAAGTTTCAACAAGCAATCTTACAGAGCAAATTTTATATTCAGTTAAAAAAATTTACCAATTAATTTAAAAATTCCTCCAAATAATCCAGGTAGCAAGTGTAAGTAAAATAATTAGGGAAAAAAATTTATTTCCCATCTATAATGTAAAAACTAATTCGTAATTTTTTTTTTTTTTAAACCTGCTTGATTGCAGGACGCCAGTAGGCGTACAAGCCTTTATTAACTCATTTTTATTAAAGGGTGTCTTCCAATTTGTAAGATCCCCCAACATTTAAAGAATTACCTATATACACCGATATACATTACCTATTTTTAGTTAATCCTAATCACTAGCAACAGGATTACCAGATGACCTAACTACAACCAGATTTTAACGAAGCTGTCCTTTTTCCTTTCCTAGTTTCTACAACGAGGGATTTTACCGGAACTATCCTTTTCCTGGAGTTTCTTGTTTCATCGACCGGAGTTTCACCAGAGGTGTCCTTATTTCTTATTTATCTTGATTCGTCCCATGCTAGTCTGTGGTTGAACTTCAATCGTGATCCTGGCACGGTTTTTGTCCTCCAGTACAACTCGACCTTGCGATTGCGGATCCTGGAAGCGCAACCACTACGCTATCGACTCATGAGTTAACTCTGTAGTTTTGTAATGATGGTAATAAAGAATCAATTCATGCCAAAACTTTGGATAAAAGAAAAAGATGCAACCTGTACATCTAAAAATATGCGACCGAGTTTATATATATAAAAGTACTTCTGTATAATTTATCGATCGAAAAATGTCAAAGATCATGCGATATTGCCAATTCATCAAGATTGGATCATGATAATAATATTATTAAAATATTGACAAAATTGATTAAATGATTTTTTTCTTCGATTCTTTAAAGTGAAACTCGGTCGTCAAAAACATAAAATCCAATAAACACACTATTCTAAAAGTATATGTTGATTAACGTAACCAAATTTCCATTAACAATAAATGAAAAAAGAACGAAAATCGAATTAAAATTATAAAAACTAATCAAGGAATGCAATTGAACCAGAAAATCTTGTAGATTTCATTTTTAATGCTCTTCCGAAAAATTATAACTTGGATAATTTATTTGAATCCAGGATGCAGCAACAAAAAACTAGTGAAGAAAATAAGTAATAACGAATGGTTCGGTAGTATTAATAAAAATTTTATGCCATTGCATAAATTGGAGGATTATAATTATTTTAAAAGGTAAGGCAACGGAATATTCTAAATACTTAGAAAAACAGTAATTACAATACTTTCTGGCTATAATAAATATTACGTTTATTGAGTTATTTGAAATAAATAAAATGATTATTTTATTACTTATCATTATTACTTTGTTAGTCTAAATTTTTTTCGGTAAGTTACATGAATTTTTAGTGCTCGATATATTTGTCATGTGAAGTCGAAACTTTTTTGGGTGGCAATTTTCCCCCGGTCGAAAATATCTGATTATTAAAAAAACAATATAATTTTGATTTACATAATATATCGAATATCCCAATGAATTACCGTATTTTGCGGAATAACCATAAAGGTACGTACTTTATTCTGCAAAATACGTCAATTCCTTTTTATATATAATTTAATCCATTTGTGCAAGTGGTAGAGATAATAAATAAAATTTTTTTTGTAGTCATATGTTCTATACCGTTCAAAAGCAAATGATAACGGTAATTATTTATGATTTTGAGATCTTGAAAATTTTCCTGCTTTAGATTACTCCCTACGAAGATATGACCCATACAAAATAATACAATATAATTTAAACAGTGAGAATATTTAAATTACTAAGTCATATAAACTAAAGTAAATAATAAGCAGAATAATTAACACATTGCAAGTATAAACATGCAAACTTTAATAGAACATTGCTTTGAGAAATTATCCAATATAAAATTTAAACAAACTAATAAATGCAACTGCAAGTCTCCATGCAATCATTGATCCGAAACTGTGTCCGGCCGCACCGACTGACTGTAATATTGAAACTATGCTACCTGTGGCAGTAGCACCACCATATAAATAAGACATCATTTGTGCCGCAAAGGATCTTGCTAAAATGCCACTTGATCCAAATCCAATTGCTCGCACAAAATAAACAACCGCAGTTGGAGCAAATATAATGCCACCAATTGTTAAGCTTAATGTTAAAATTGATGCCATTTTTTTTCTTTTAAAAAAGTTATATCACTTTAGAAAAATGTTACGGATAAATGTTGTGTATTAGGTGATTAATTTATAGAAAAATGTTGCGTATTAGGTGATTAATTTATAGAAAAATCAAAAAGTTTTTTATAGTAGCTACGCACTAATGACGTACGTACGTACCCTTAGAAATGCAGTCATATTTACATAATAGGTTCAACTAAGTCATAATTTACATAAATATGTTTCACCTCTACGTATTCTAACGATGCTGATGAAACCTTGACGAAATAATGTAATTTTGCCAATAATTTCGATTGAATTTTTGTAAATTAGTTATTGCATCATTAACAGCAAAAGTAACATTATATACCTTTTCTACCTTTTATTAGCTATAGAGCAGTTGTATATATTTAATTTTCATTCATACAGTATATTTTTACTTGAAAGTTATAATAGTGTTATTGACATTTATGTTTGTGGCATATTTTTGCCATGTTGTTCATTGGCAATACCAACACTAAACTACAATATTCGGTAACATGAATAAAGTGAAACCAATAAAATACTAAATATTCGCAAAATTTCTTTAGTTGACTATACTCACACTAAACAACACTTTAATTATATATTTTAATTATGTACTTTATATACTCATTAAATTAATTAACAAGAGTTATTTTCTAGTAGAAAAAATATTTCATTTAGTATCCAATATTACAAATAATATAGAGCTTAAAATTCTAAAATAAAGTACTTTTATTCTTCTGCCTTTTATATCATATAAAGTTATGTATAAATCTAATCATTATTATTGTTTTATTATTTAGAATTACTTCATGTCGCCTGCGGTGATCGTCGCCGCAATAACATCGTGTAACATAAACAAATAAAACACGCAATAACTCTTCATGATTAGGGTACAGTATAGAATAGGTAGCTGCGCGACGTTGTCACGCAAAACCAGGAACGGAAGGTGGGTTTTCAGATCGAGTTTCAGATGAAACTGCTTTCGTCATAAGTTTTTTGTTTGCTTAACTTTTATAAGTTTTATTTGC